GATTCTGCAACAACCTGAGAACTAATGACTCTCACAATTTGCTGAGCCAAGTCCTTTAACCATTATCACTCCAGGGTCTACTCACACTCAATGGAGTATCACATTTTCTAAGCTCCTTAATGACGGTAGTTATCACTCAAGATATTCATGGAATGAGCGCCACAGAAAGTATGTGCCTTGTCATTACAATCAGGTCACCAAGATAATCGATTTTCTGAACTGCATAATAAATTTTCCCAAGCTGGCAATTCAAACAGAGTGATAAGACTAAAACATTGTTCTCTACATCAACATAACAGTAGAGCAATTTAAGAAGGATCATTATCACTAACAATAAAACCATATTACTCTATTTGACATGGCAAACAAGGCATGTGTATCCGATAGATGAAACTCCTGGATAATATCCTCCATAATTATCCAAACTCACAATTACTTTATGACTACTTTTGTCTATTTCAAAGGCAACGCAAGCCAGAGTCAGTTGCTCAGGGAATGCTCATAAACTTCACAAGTCATCTTCAATTTGCAATTATAACTATTATTTAAATAAAAGAATGGAATAAGAAAATAATCCTTACAATTCAAACGTATTAATTTGGACAAATTTCTAGGAAGCACAAGCCCCTTAAGTATTATCCAGAAGAATCAATCAGACATCTGTTACATGTAATACTCTTCTCCCTAATAGAAGTTGGCAGCAACAGGTCAACCCTCCTTTGTTTAAACCACACTCCTAGAAAGAGCATTGTAACAGTGATGATCACATCAAAGCCACTGGCAGGTAATATGACAATGAAAAGGATCATTTGGTTTCTTCCACTCACGTGGATAACCTTATTTGTATCAACCTCGTGCTTGACAATGTGAATCAAATGAAATGAAACCAAATAGTATCAGTGACCATAGTAAATGCTTTAAATTGACTTGAAATTGGTGCTTGAAGAATTAAGATCATAATCACTTAATGATTTTTTTTTTTTTTTTCCAATTTATACAACAGTCACTTTGGATGTGCAATCTTTATCTTTATCAACTGATTCTTGAATTTCATAGTAATCAAGGAAATCAGAGATGGCAGAAGCCAAATAAGTTCCTCTCTTCCCTTTTATTAAAACTATGCAATTACATTTCTTTTTTTTCCCCTTTTTTTTCCCTGGTAAACAGTTAGGTTGCATTTCTAATGCCAGGATGGATGGTCTAAAACTACTTCCTGTTAATGGAGATAGAAAGTGTGAATTTAACCTAACAGAATTGCAAATAGAGATCAATCACTCAATATAGGATGGTGAGGTCATTGGTCAGGCTTAAGTCCAAGATAAGATGTCACTCTTCCAGTTGACCAATCAGAAAGCAGTCAGTACTCAAGAAAAAGTAGATATTGTTCCCAAATTACAACTTCAGTATTAATAAATGTGAACAACATGACAAAGGATCCATTTGAAACTGTGATCAGACAATTCGACTGCAACTCGACCCATTTATAATTGTAGATCAGATAGTTCAAGTGCCACATTCTTCGAGCCATAGGTCACAGATCTAGTTTCAAAGCCAGAGGAGGCATCCTTTCTTATTTGGAGTGGTTAATATTTAACAATGTGAAGACTTATTCCTCAAAATATGAATTCATTCAAAAGGAAAATGAAAGGACTAATTCCTTGAAGATCCGTTTAGTTTGACCTGTAATGTAGTCCTGGATGATAAGCTGTCCAGAATCATGAAGCTGTTGCTGCAGGTGTTTCATGGCCATCTTTTTAGCTGCTTTCTATGTTGTGGATTCATTTGTATACAGGCCTGTGTATGTCAATTCTTAGGCCCTGATTAATTTTGGTGTTAGTTGATCATGTCTTTGGTATGTCTAGATGATGTTCAGCCTTATCTCATCATTGCCTTAGGGTATAAACATTGCATTGTATACAAGTTGTGGCTCAACCAAAATATATAAATCCATTATTTACAGTCTCCTTTCTGTTAACAATGGCAGAGAGCATGACAAATACATTCAAGAGAGGCACAGATAGCAGATGACTCTTTTAAATGTAAGGTAATTAATGTCTTTAGGCTGCAAATGGTGGTGAAAGATGCAAGGAACAACCTTTTCTCACTAGCTGAATAAATGTAATATATTCAACCAAAAAGGGGGGGACAGAAAGCTGTCAGCTGATTTGATCTATAACAGATGATTCCGTTGTATTAATTATGTGGCATAATAAATATGGTCCTTGGGGAGTGCACATAAGATTTGATTGATAAGTGTAGGGTTGCAAATTCAGCCGGGTTGAGGTATTTTTCCTTTGACATAATGCAAATACCGTCAACCTTGTTTAATTAAATTACAGAAGATTCCCTGTGTTTTCGTTGTGTTGATAAGCATAAAGGATGATCTTATGCCTTATGAAAGTGCATGGCATACATGTGACTGGAGTCTAAAAGAACTGAGCTGAAAATTTTACTTAGATTCTAGAATATCGCACAAAATGTAGTCACTGTCTTGCTGTCTGAATAGAATGGAAAGCACAAACTGGTGATGGAGGACTGACTGACCAACATTCTTTAGATTTGGCTGTCAACTCTATTAATGGTTCATTTCACTTACAAGTTAGCTTCATCCATCACTAAACGCGCCATGTTAAATGGATGGTAGTGAGAAGAAAACTTGCTGTGAATAAGGTAATAATCTTCTTCCATATAGATTGATGTGTCTTTGTCTTTGTCTTTGTGTTCTTGTTCAACACATGATAACTTTTACTTTTCATGTTCAGCCTATGATAACTTGAGTTAAAGTTACTCTCAATTGATAAATTAAATAATTCATGGAGAATATACAGATACAATGACAGAACATTGTGCATTGTAAGAAAAACAGACAAAGGTCGACAAAACTAACCGCCTTTGCAAACTCAATTCTAAGTGGATTCCCCGCGACAACAAAACCTTGAAGTGCTCTTATTGCTTCAAAAGCATCCTCTTCATTTCTAAAATTAATGAAGGCATAGCTACGGCCTGGCTGAAAAGCAACATTCTCAAGTTCTCCATATCGTAAGAAGTGATTAACCAAAGTGCGTTCAGTTAAGTCATGAGAGAGATTTCCAACCCAAAGGTGCCTTGATGGAGGAGCATTATTCCGCCCATGATGACTCTTATCATCAGATCTTGAAGGGTAATCTCTTCTAAATCTGTCCCTCCCTCCTCTGGCACTCTATAAAAGTAACACAAAAAGCAGCCAGGCATCACATACCACGTCATTATAATTTTACACAAACAATTAACCAAAAAGGTAAATTGAAGGAATAAAAAAATTTGTCAACTGCTAAAGCCGATAAACATTTTTCAAACTGTTTTTTCTTCCTGGTGGCAGGCGATACTTCATTGGTAAAAAAATTAGTTTCGGCCCTCCGCCTAGTCATTCTTATGTCAGACATTCATGAGCTAAGAAAGTTCGATTGGACGTGCAGTAATGCATAATTTCACAAACTTGTATAAAGCAGGGCGTGAAATTGAAGCTAATCGAGGCTGTATTCCTCACTTTGCGCGGAGATTCAACTCAATTATAGATCTGAGCAAGTAATTATTTAAGACAGGTGAATATACATATTAGCGTCCATGCATGGACAACATTGTAAAGTACGTCAAAGTTATTCCAGTAGGGTTCCCCTTTGATCAGTTGAGTAGAGATGTGAAAGACGGAACCGCACCAATAGTTACTATCACAATCATTCACTGAACTATCTTAAATAAGAAGAGTACAACAGAAATCATAAATCCTTTGAGCCCTTTCTACAAAAAGTCCTAACTGAAGATGAAGCAAGAACAGCCACTTAAGTAGAATAAGTTAGAATCGCAAATTTTGAGAAATTGAGAAAGCTTGCAGTAGAAAAGGGTGCCAACCATTTTTCGTCTGGCTTGAACTGAGAAGAGTACCAAAAACCCACGCTTCGTACAGAGAATCAAGATCAAGCCATGCGCGAAACTGTAAAATTTACACAATCGTATCCTCTTCAGAATCGAACCATGAGTCAGAATCAGAACATACAGAGAGCGAAAGGGAGAGTGGACTGGGGGATTAGGGTTTCGGTATGGGACATGGAACAGAGTCGTAACCAATTGCCAATTCCTGGCCTCGAACGCTTTCGCATATTGACGGCGGATTGGTGTGTGTCATATTTGGGGTGTTGCGGTGGCAATCAGATATTTTCATTTTTAATTTTTCCTTAGTCTACTTATGACAATCTCCACACACACACACACACACACACACACACACGAAAGTAGTGCATTTTGAGAGAGAGAAAAAAAAAAAAAAAACAAATTCAGAAAGTTTGATGACAGCAATTAAAAAGTGCTAAAATATTTTTAATTAATATTATTACTATTTATAAATTATTTATATATATTATATTTCATGAAAATATAATAATTTAATTCTGAACAAATTATTTTAAATAAGATTTAATATTATTAGGCTTATTGATAATTTCTTTTTGCTTATACTCAAAAAAGAAAAAGAAAAAAATTTTAAAAAAATCATATTTGAATCTCCTTAATATTAAATTTCAACTATATATTTATCCAATATTTACCAAATAATATTTTAATTATGTTTTTGTATGAATATAATATGTAAATCTAAAATAAAAATTGATGATATCATATCATTGATATGAAAGCACGGAATAATTAAAAATGTTAAGACAATTTAAATTCAAACACTTCTTGGAGATGAGTGACCTAAGTAAATTTTTTAAATATATTTTTGTAATTAAAATTAATTTAAATTGTTAAATTAAAAAAAAAAAAAGAAAAAATCATGAAGATAGGAAGGACTAATGATTTATAATATCATTTCTTAAAGTTTGAAACTCATTTATATATTTTCTTGTTCTGCATCTCATCTGAGTATACATTAATCAGCTTGTTTTACATCTATGGCCTCTCAATCAACGCCAAGAAGCTTCTCCAGATACTTTGATACGAATGAAATGGTCACAAGCAAATTCATCTTAGCTGGATTTGGAACTTATAAGTCCTTCTACGGACCCAATGAGGGCCAGGACGGTCACAAGCAAGCAGACTACCCTGAAAGCCTGCAAAACAAGCCACATTCTTGTCCAAGCTCTGATCTTCTTCTGCACAAGGAACATCTCCACAGGGAAGTATATGGCCAAAGGCCAGAAGTTGAGGGCGCCTAAGACCCCTAATACGTCGTTGAAATAAGGAAAAAGTAGAGCGATTCCAGTGGTAGAAGCAACATAAGCCGTTCTGAAGCATAGCCGGAGAAGACTGAGCTCCAGGACAGGCAGCATTGGGAGCTTGACGGCATAAACCTTGCTCACAAATCCACTGGCCGGGAGCTTCCTGGTTATCCATCCTTCCGCCGCCGCAAACAGTGGCTGACTGTACACCTGTCACATGGAGGAAGAAAAATGAAAAGCAGGGCAGAGATAGAATAGAGCATTGCTCTAGAGCAGAACACCATTTAGAAGGTTAATGGTATAGAGCAGAGGATTAGTAATGAATTCATCCATTGCGATAATGTCTACATAAAAAGAAAGGAGCAGTGGTTCTCTGCAGCTTCATCATCAAAATACTCATCAGTCAGCCACGTTTATAAAATTATTAAAAAGAAACACACACACTGACACAAGTGACATCAAATGGCCTCTTAGATACTGTCATTGAGGCAACTGCCATCGTCTCCTACAAAAAGGTAGACCCATGTACTCATAAAAAGATATGAAGTCTACCTTTTCGTGAGAAACAAGAGGAGTATCTTCAATAACAGTATCAAAGAGATCCAAACGAGAAATAGGTCTCCTTCTCCCTACAAAGCCGGAAAGTTCCACCGTGCAAAACTGACGGTTTTCACTCCTCAAGTCACCAATATGTCACACTATGACAGCAATTTGCCATTTGTTTGGAACAATCAAGTGATGGAAACTTGTTTTCTCCTAGAAGAATGAGCATAGACGAACTAGTTTTAAATCGCGGAGAATTCAGAAGTTGTAGTCTATCTAAAACTCGTTGAATTTTTTGTTGATGTAAAATTGGAGCTTGTCTCTGACTAAACCTCAATTGCAGCATGAATACCAACCATCATCTACTTCACAATTCAGAAAGTACCTACCTGATATCCTCCAACGAGATGGACAACAACGCACGCATTGGCAAAGTCAACTAGCCAGTATGGCTCGTAGAATCCAAAGCCAGTCAATATATTTCCGGGTGTGTCGTCACCGAAGGCGGCATATCCAAAACAAGCACAGCAAAGATAGAGGGTGGTGGTGATAGAAATAGCCGCCGCAGAAGCCTTCTTCATGGTTTGATTTTCCGGCGGTGGCGACTTCAGGGTGTCCTTCATTCTCGAAAGTAGGTGGTTCACTTTTTAGCTACAAAGCTATATTAAAACTCTTCACATTTAATATCTGAAAAGAATTAAAAAAACAATGCTGCCGCAATATTTGTAGGTAGCTTGAGTGGAAGGAAGAGTATCACCTCTATCTCTAGAAGAATAATGTTGTATGTGAAAGCAAAAGCGATGTCACCAATTGCTTCAGCATCGACCCATACTTTTTTCATTAACGTAGGTTCAGGAACTCCTTGGATGTCCCCTTTAATCTTTCCATCTCCTGCAATAATATTGAAGATCGAATTTATACATTCTTTGACATAAATATGCATATCTCAGGTCAGAATTTTTGATAATTATTTCATTGACTTTTGAATGCCTTGCAATCGATCTAAAAATACTTACAATGAAGTAATTTTGGTATATCACAGCTCAACTGCAAGATTTAAGTAGTCTCTTGTGTTTGTACGTAAATGCAGCAACCATTACCTTTCTAGTTATGCGCAGCTTTATGTATGGGAGTTCAGGGTAATTTTCTCATTTTAAAAATAGATGGGGTGAATCAGTCCACATGAACAACCAAAATCAAATTTCCAACAAATCTGCAGAAAGATGAATGCAAAAAGAGAGAGAGAGAAGGAACGCATGGTTGCTTAAACTAGTTAATTTCTGGAACTCAAAAGGAATGTCTACGTCTTGATGCAAAATGATTACTCCCCATAAAAGATAACAAGGAGAGAAAAAAAAAATAATTTTACCTACCTAATCAGGATTTAAGTTCAAACATATTGGACTCGGATACACAAACATTCTGAAGTAGAATACGATATATGAACAGATTTTCGCTATCAGAAAGCATATCTATATGAGCAATGTGCGACCACATTATGATTGTTCTTTCGGAAACTGAGAGCTGTTAGATCTGGTTCCTGCTACCATTTTGTGTGTCACAGAAAACAGATAACACTTGAGACCTTGAAAAGTTGTTTTCACATTTTAGCAAAATTTATCTTCTGAGAATATTGCAAACAAAGGTTTGAAAGTGGAAAATTGTTTTCAAAAACAAATGCAATCAGGCTATATAAACTTATTGACAACAGTAAACTTTTGATTGTTTTTCTTTCCCCTGATAATATTTCAGTTATGAAGAGTGTTTACATACCAATAGTTTTCGCTAATCCAAGCCCCAATCCGATGGAGGAGTATGCAAAGGACATGATGGCAGCAGTTACTGAGAGCCATGCCATGTTATGGAAGTCAGGTATCTGAGAAACGACAACCTGAACAGCTCCAAAGAGCAACATGTATAGGCTATCTCCGTATTCACAAGGAGCACTGTGCCCTTCCTTGTGGTAACAATTCGATTTCTGGATTGCTCTGTAAAAACAAATTTAACCAATTAGTGAAGATCACTCAAAAGTAGCAAACAAGAACTGAAACCAGCCTTGCTGAGCGTGCAGACCTCATGCTGATGGCGGCTGTTATTGTGTAAGCTATTCCATATCCATAGAAGCTTTCTTGAACGAAAGCTTGGCACACCCACATACTCTTTTCTCCTGAAAGCATTGCACACATCAAGATGGTGAATTATATAGAAAATTTATTTTCAAGTATGTGCTACCAAAGGTAGTAAAGGGCTGAAGTGTTTGAATGGAACATCACCCCTGGTTGTGGCCTATTTGGGCATTATTTAATATTTATGCTCTGTTTTCAGAAACAAAGAAAAATGACAATGGAAAACCAAAGATTTAGTTTATAGACTGCTTTCAAAAAAATATTTCTCTTCTAGAAAACAGGCCAGTTTTCACAAAACAAACTCTTTTTGGCTTTTAAAAAACATTAAATGGCAGCCTATACTGAAAATCCGTTGGGCAGACTACATCTTAGAACCTTTTTCCTGTTTTAATTTTTTATAAAATAGGTCCATTTTCAGGGAAGACGTGGAAACCAAAAGCTCAGAATTCTCAAATTTCAATCGAAAATCAATAAAATGAAGAAGTTCCAAAGTTCTATGACAGAAAACATAAAAACTAAGAGCGAGAAGAGAGAACAAGAGGATAATTCCAAACAGGAATCTACTGGGTCACAAAATTTGGGATCAGTTTTGATTCTGCAATGGAAAGTGATCATAGGAAAGAAAGAAACAGAGTAATCCAAATGGGTAAAGCAAAATCACCTAAGAATGACTTCACAGCTTCAGCGTATGATTGGTTTCTGGTTTGTCCAAATTCAGGATGAGGACACCTATAGCAATCACAAAGAAGAAAGGAAACGAAAACGGCAATTGCCCCAAACACCACTAAGCACGAAGGACCTGCGATCCATCCCAGCTGAGCTACACTCCATGCAAGTGACAGCACCCCAGACCCTATAACCCCAGTTATTACGTGGGCAGTTGCAGTCCACACCGTCCCTTCACATCCAAACCGGAGAGAAATGAACAAGAAATTAACTCCTCCGAAAGAAATACTAGCCTAGAATTTGATGGGCTTTTTCACTACTCCATTGAAATTAGTTGCAGTTTTACCTGTTCTCTTTAGTGGTTCAGGAACGTGTGTGGAAGAAGATGATGGAGTGTCCGAAAGCAATGGAATGCTTTGTTCGGCATCTCCGTCCACCATGGCTGCTCAAAAATTTGGTAGAGGGTGAAGCTGGTGCTTTATGAGATTTCCAATGGAAGGTGTTTAAAGGTTATGGGGGTGAAATTGACAGTTGACAGGGCGGGAGGGTAGTTGGTACCCGCTAGTCAAATATAGTTGCGTACAGGACTATAAGATACACGTTTTAACAGAAAGGTTTTAATTTTTAAAAAAAAATTAAAAAAATTTAATTAAGGTGAATCCACAGCCTCCAACCTTGACGTGGTTTTTTTTTTTAAATCATATCTTATATTTTTTTGTTATAAAATTATTACCGTTGTTAAAAATATATATATATATATAAAATATATAATATCTCTATTTATAATTTAAAATCTGCGACATATTTGTACGAGAAATTTAGTGGGCTTTTAGATAATATTTTTGACCTTTTCATTGTACTTCCTACGTGGATTAATGATGACAATCTCATGGAATTATGTTAGAAGAAAAACAATTTCATCCATCCAAGATTTTATAGATACATTAGATTTAGGAAGTAAATTTGAATTTGAATCCTATACAATTTGACCACATAAGAATTTAAATCATCTATTATAATATAAAAAAATAAGAAAAAGAAGAAGAAGAAGAAGAAGCTTCCAAATTGTGGAGGGGGATTGGAAATAAGTACAGAGAAATAAAATAAGAAAAAACAGCCCAAGAGAGTTGTTTTATATACAAACTAGTGGTTAAACTTGTGCGATGAACTAGGTAAAAAAAAAAAATTACACAAAAGCATTATAAATAATAGAGAAAGTTGTTTAAAGTTGACTATCATTTTTTCACAAAAAAATTATAAATAACAATGTTATTGAATTAAATAAAAATAATATGAAATATAAAAATTATAAGTATTAAAATAAAATGTTTAAAATAATATTTAAATTTATATTAAGAACTTCAATAAAGAACAAAGAATTTGAGATAGTGATCAACTTTACATTTTATAATTGATCCTCTTAATTTAATATTGAAAGTCTAATCAATAATGATATTTTAATATTTTTCTTTAAATAATATATGTTTTATGCTATTAATTATATTTCATAAATAAACTACTTTCAAATTAAAATAATAAGCTAGTTTTAAAAAAATGTAAGATAAGAATTAAATTTATACTTGCAATCATATCATGTGAAATACTTTTCATAAACAACACTTCTTGTTATACAATATAGGCATTCAAGTTTTGCACAAATTAAAAATTTCAAACCCTACTTTCCTATTCACAGACACTAGAAACCACAAAACTTGAGCGTCGGCGCTTCGGCTTCACGAGAGTTGATCACTCAATCTAGAAATAACCAAAATTCTTAATTTAGAAATATAATTTATCTCATAATTAACTTAAATTCAAATTCCCATCAGTAACTTACTATTCTCTAGGTTTTCATGTTCAAACATATCTAAAATTCTTAAAATCCCGAACTGATCACAAAATTCACATCTTAGGTATTAAATTCTTGAACCGGGCTCATAAAATAATAAACTTGTCTAATTATGCTTTAAACCAATCATTAAAATCTTAAACCGATCTTGAACTTATCACTAGAAGGTTGAATTGATCATGAACCGATCATCATATCATTGAACCGTGTCTCAAACTCACTGAACCGACCTTAATTTCTACCAAACCGGCCATGAAAGCTACTGAACCAGCCATAAAATTCATTGAACTGGCCTTAAACCCATTGAACTGGCCTTAAAATCCATTAAACCGGCCATAAAAATCCACTGAACCAGCCTTAGATACATAAAACCGACCATGAAACACACTAAACCAGTCATAGAATCCCTTGAACCGGATTTAAACCCATTGAACCAGCAAAAAAACACACTGAACCGGCCCTGACAATATTGAACCACCCACTTAAAACCCTAATTCTTTAATTTCATGCTAAACCGGCTAGTTTTCCCTTGAACCAGCCGTGAACTAGTTAGATTATTTTTCTTATCTTTCTAACAGTACCCTGAACTAGCCATGAACTAGTCATTAAACCTTGAACTGACAGTTTTTCATTTCCTACTTTTTTTTCTAATTTATTTATTATTTTATGTTATTTGGATCTAGATCCCAGATTTGGATCTTGCCTCGCAACCGCAACCCAATATCCAAAAAGGCTTAGATCCAATATGGCTTGTCCCATTGGCCACAGCCCACAAATTTTTTTTTTCCAACTACATCTGGGTCGGCCCACAACCAAATCTTGCTTCCAGCCTAAGCCATTAGGCTCGGCTTGACCTGAAATCATTCAAGTTGTTTCTTCTTGACCTGAAATACCCAAAAGCCCACCAAACCAATACAAAAAACATTAACCCACAAATTAACAATCTTACCTCGACTTTTTCCTGAAATTAATCTTACTATGTGGCTCAGAATGACTAGACGAAGGCCTCCACTAGTTTAATGAGCTATATCAACTAGAGCTTGAAAATTTAAGCTCAAATAATCTGTTAATGGCGGACGACAACAGGAAGGAACTTGATCAAAATTCAAAAATTCTCAAACCGACTGGAAAAATTGACTTGGGGCTTTTGCTTGTCTCACTCAGTTGCATGAGACTTTAACAACAATTTGTTCAAAACACTTGATTTAATGATGTAATCAATAGTTTTAATTTGGGGAATCTGGACATTTCAGCGGTTATAGGATGTTTTATAATTTTTGTAATCTAGTCCTCGAATTTTAATTCTCTCGCACTTTGGTCCCTGGCCTAATTTGTTCAGACCCCTCTAATTTCTATTTAATTCAATTTTAAACCCCTAAATTTTCAATGAAGCCCACCAATTTCCCAATTTTTTCAAGCAGCCCCCTTAATATTTTATTTTATTCAATTTCCCCAAAAAGTCGGGGTCTTACAATCTTCCCCCCTTAAAGAAATTCAATCTCTGAATTTAAATATCCAAATACTAACTAATCTTATGTCTCAAACAAGTAGGGGTGCTTCAAATGCATCAAATCTTCAGATTTCCCCCGTTGTTTCCTCTTTCAAGTGATTCCTCCATACTACTTTCATAGATGCTATCTTTTTAGTCCTTAGTTTCTTAACCTATTGGTCAACAAGAACTACAGATTCCTCTTCATACGACAAGTCAGCATCCAACTGTGTCTCTTGCGATACTACAACATGTGACAAATCCGTAATTATTTCTAAAGCATGAATACATGGTGCACCGCAAAAAATTCAAATGGAATGGTCAATCTATGAACCAACACACTAACTTGATCTAATATCTCGAATAGACAAATATATATCGAAAACTAAGTCTTGCTTTGTCACACCACATCTGTTCACCAGGTGAGGAATGATAGTCAGGGCAGCAACTAACATACTATTGTACTAGTAACACAATAGCATGTTACTTACTGTAACCCCTATCTTATCTACCTCAAGTAAGCCCATATAACTTGTATAACATAATACCCTTCCAAGATCAAGTAATATTCATAGCTAGCTATATACTCTAGTCATGTCCCATAAATAAAATATAATCCACTATCATTGTATAATCATCTAATACATTGACACATTCCAATAGTGCAAATGTAAACTAATCATCATCTATCTACGTGACCACAAATATAACTATATGACATCAATCACATGAATGCCCGTACTGGCTCACCCTCCACTAAATGCACAAGATGTCGATGTAGATGCTACTATTTAGGCTACGTTCTCTCAAAGTCTACATAGGAAAAAAGGAGAAATGAGATATGTGTCCCAATAAATGGCACATAACCTAATCTTAGTGGAAATAGTCAAGTTTTGATACTATAGTATCCACAAACACTTTTCCATAAAATTTTCCAAACAAAACATAGTAAATGTGTCAACATCAAGAAAATCATACCTGTGTAATAATATCAATCATAACATGAGCAATACATTCTGAAGGCATTAGATAATCACAAAAAGCATCTAGTAATCATAGAAAGCATAAGAAATCCTCAAGGATCATAGTGCATAATCATGTGTGTGGTCTGATTGGTGTGCACAACCGAATATGGTGCATCTAGGAGCAATAAAACATAAAAGTCATGAAAATCAATAAAACATGTCAGGCGCTACTGCACTGTGTAGCCTACATTGAGGGTTGCCGCCATTCCTTCAGCTAAATTAACACAGTTTGCGACATCTGGGATCCCCTACCAAATCTTAGTTCATATCATATAACATGTAATATCATAGCATCATGCATGTAGAACTACCACCTGCCCCAACTAGTTGCCCGACATTCCTACTCTGGTGTCGAAGTACAAAACATCATGAAAACCATCAAACTAAGCATATAACAGAAACCAAAACATAGCTAACTATTTTCCTTTTCTTAATCTCAACATACAATAATTTTAGAAATAATTATCATTGGTTATAAAACACATTTGGAAAAATAGCTAAGATTAGGAAGATGCCACTCACCTATGCTAGCACCCGTGTCCTATCAAGATCAATCCTGTTGTGTCACTGCCTAGCCAATACATCTCTTCTAAATAAAACCATTTATATGATTAATGGCATGCCCTAAATATGGATGAATACATGAGTAAATGAGTGCATGTGTTTTTAGGTCGTAGCATCTCTCACATATGTGGTCTGAAAATTCTAAGAATATTAATAAATAGCAGTTGTCCATCTACCTGTGTTAGGGTATGCTCACATTCAAGAAAAGAGCTATAGTTATTTTATTATGAAAAATAATCTTCTTGCTATTAAAATCTTGGAACTTCTAACATATTGTATAATAAAATGCTAATATCTGAAACTACAAAACTTGAAATGACCCAATTCAAAAAGGGTTTTAAACCTAACTTAATGGGCTACAATTTTCGTGTTTTGGGCTTAATATAAATCTACCTACCAGAAGTTCGAAATTGGCCCGAAATTAGCCGATAATATAAAAACCCTTATTGGACCTTTATTCAATTTTTGGCTATAACTTGAGCTATTCAATTCAAAATCGATGTCATTCAAGTT